AAACCATCTTTTCAGAGAGTTACATGACGAGGTAAGTTTGTAATCCGTCTTTTACTCAATTCCTAAAATTGATGAAACCAGAATACCCATTCATTACCTTACATTCAAGACAACGTTACATATGAATTTCATATTTATTTATGAATAAGGAATTTGATATAATTAACATCTTCAAAGAAATATTACTTTTCTATAGTTTTAAATACTGTCTCATAAGAAACACATCCTCAACTCCGCGGCCACGAAACAACTAGTTTGTATATATTGAGCTCAGATAAAAGAAGACAAATTGTCATTCGTTCCTACTCCCTGTATTGTAAGGTACTACTTGTGATCCCTATCACGACTGTAGATATTTTGTTAAATATTTTGCCATATATAATAATTCTTGTAAAGGTTATGCATATCGTATACGTATAATAAATATTTGATTAAAATTTATTGAAGTAAGTTCGGACTCCTTAGTTTTGTATCAATAGTAACAAGATTACGAAAATAAATAATTATAATATGATCCAAACCTTGAACTTTTATTGCATATTCATTTAATTTAAGTTATTTTTTCAGTTATGAAGCATAAAATATATTAAAACAGTTTTTAAATGTTAGCCATTGTATTATTATAAAATCTTAATTTAATGTTATATTTACAAATTAACACAACTATTCAAACAACCAAATATAAACTAGTTATGAGATTTATTAAACTATATGTTTAAAATATATAACAACTTCATAGTATCTTTAGCTTTAATTTTTGTATGAATAATCATTTAGAAATAATAATAGTATCATTACTACTTTTGTGGTATCCCAGACATATATCAACAACAATAGTTATTTGAATTGAAAATACTTATCATTGTTCTAGTTTTTTACGAAAATAAAAACTTAAAACGAGAACTGTTGGTACGTAAATTTGCAACCGCTGGGAATAGAAGCCAAAGCAAACGATTTGTCTTCATTTGTCCAATCTCAATAGCTTGACGCTATTTGGATGAAATAATTGATAGAACAGTCTAGATTGTTTGCATGGATGAAATGGCATTTTATGTTTTTATTTAAATCTTTGTTTATAAAAATCTTATTGTTGTTATTGTAAAAGTCTGTTTATAAAAATCTTATTGTTGTTATTGGTATAAGTTTTTGACTGTGAACAAAAATTATGTAAAAGGTTGTGGTTAAAATGTAATGATATTTATTTTATTCTATTAATCCTAAATATAAGTCCTATAAACAAATCTGAATGAATAATCAAAACTATTTAATATTAACATCACAAGAATGAAACATATTGGAAGTTTAACCACCACGAAAACCCAACTCTATTTGGTCACTGAACTTAAACCGAATAGTCTATGATTATTGTAAGTATGTAGAGTAACCAAATGTTTGTACATACTGGTATAACACGATGAGATTCCATGGCGCCATCACACCTGCTGTGCTACTTTGCACCGAGTTGATGTCCCACCAAGCGCGTGCTTTGCGTAGGGTCCTGTCGAAAAATATCTAATACTAGCTTTTGCCGCGACTCCGTCCGCGTGGACTAGTGACTTCCGACAGATTTTTAGTTCTTCCCACATAGTTCCCGTTCTTGCGGGGTTTTCGAAATGGTCGAGTTCCCGTAGAGTTTTCAGGATAAAACCTATGTTTTTTTAAATTCACAATGAAGTACTCTTAACCAACAACATATTTATTTGTTTATTTGAATAAAGATTTTATAAAATTATTTCGACCAAATTAGGTACCATAAAAACGGTTTTTGTGAGTTAATCTTAAAAGAGAGACATATACTGTCGCGGACTGTTTTTTAGATCATTAAAAGAGCTATTATTCTTTAATACATATTTTTTGTGTATCTTGAACCGTTTTCACGGCGCACGCAACGGAAAGCTTCAAAGATAAAATAATTTCTCCCGTCTTTACACATTTACCACTATATCTTTGCTCCTATTGGTCGTAACGTGATGCTATATAGCCCACAGCCTTCCTCGATAACTGGACTATCCAACACAAAAAGAATTATTCAATTCGAACCAGTATTTTCGGAGATTAGCGCTTTCAAACAAACAAACAAACAAACTCTTCAGCTTTACAATATTAGTGTAGATGTGTTCCTCCAGATCGTTATTATTAACCCTCGGCCTTCCCGCTTTAGCACGTTGTTGTCCACGGCCATCGACATTTCCGAAATTGTACATGCGTATATGAAGACGCCGAAATGACTTAAGTGACGGTAATGGTATGTTTCTTGGAGAAGCAAACAGTTCGTCATAAAGTCTACGCGATTCCGCATAATTACAATCACATTTCCCTAGACACATTAACATATTGAAATATTCCTGGTTGGAGTACATTTTATAAAACAACACAATTTTATAAAACCGTAACCAAAAAGTAATCCACTCGGAAGAAATTTCCGCGAGGAAGTAATAAAAAAAATTTACTAAAAGGGCGGCATAGGCTCGAATAAAAAATATCGATATTTAAAAAATCATAACAATAAATAAATATTTAATATTCATATTATTTCGATACTTTTTTTGATATATCAAACATTAATATTATTTTTGATTGTAAAACACCATTTTTAACTGAAGTAGATTAACGATTTATCCTAATAATACAACATACATTACCTGAAGAAGTTCCAAATTATAATATTGACTTATAATATTTATTATTAATAAAAGTTATTTTAAATGAAATTATTTTAATGTGAAAAGCATAACTATTTATAGCAATACTGAAAATATCGATAAAATATTTAGCGATTACCTAATTTTTAAATTTGCAAATGTCTATTCGATAAACTAACAAAATAATAATAATAACGCCGGCGGCCCGGCGCCTGCGATGAATGGCCGCGTAACTGATGACCCGTAACTGACCTCTGCTTGTTATTTTTTAAGTTATACTATTTTTAATAATAAGCTTATACTTATATGTATACATGCCTTCAAAGGTTGACACGGTTTTTAGAACACGCTGTATACAATTTAATAAAGTTTGTCCGTCGCAAAGAATTAAAAATATGAAATAAATTTTAAATATTGAACAAATATAGACATGAATATAAATTTAAATTTACAGTATAAAGGTTTGAAATCTTAATCTTAAGTAGCTTCGCTACAATTCGTTTATACACAGACTTTTGAAACAACCCATTTTGTGGACTTCAAGTAAAATATTAAATATATAATTTATCATGTTTAAATTCATTACCTTTTAGTTTTTGTAATAAACAATTGATTTCTTATCTTTTACTTTTTATATAATGCTCTTAAATTATAATTCAGAAAAACAAAATAAACTAGTGTTCAAACGTATATGATTTGACGATTTTTATTTTATTATAGTTTGTAATTAAAATCAGCTCTATACCAAACAGAATGAACGCTCTAAATGTAATTAATGACTCTGAATGAAAGTTTAATTCGATTGACTGTACAAAATATCCTAGGAAACAAAGGAACAACGAGCCCTGACTGAAGGTCCTCGAATGACCACCATTTGCTTCTCAGTTCAACGTAAGTCGACCGCCCACTAAATGAACTATTAATCTGATCAGTGCCATGATATATTATTAGAATAAGATGATAAGAAGCCCGAATCCAGCAGGGACAATTGGCCACGAAATGATGATTATTATTGTTACAACTTTTAACTTAGTTCTAAAATAATCACGAATCGAACGCAATCTTACCGCTGAGTGGATTGTTAATTTACTTTAAGAAATGGATGATAGTGGTCGTGATACGGCAGACAACTCTCTATTTTATTGTGACCTACTTTATTCTATAAACTTTAATATCTTTCTATTTGGGAGGTGGTCAAACTGGAATAGCTGAAATTTTTAACTACTATCCTTGAATAGCCATAAATTCAGTCTTGGATTTAGATCGATATGTCAGTGGATAATAAAAGTAGCACAAAAACTTGTTCAAAGATAAAATAACTTTTATTTCAACTTAGTATATACTAAATATGTATTTCTTACTTAGCTGATTTCGGTTTCAATATATTAACTTCTAATAAAAAAGTAAACAACGATAAAGTATGTTGTCAGAAGTCGTTTATTTTATAAAAAAAAGAAGAAAAAATATCAAATTAATTTATTTTGGACTAAACTTGTAACGATTATTTAAATGACAAAATTATAAATACGATAATCTTATATTTTCTAATTCCCTTCAAAAAGAAGATCTTCGGGTGCGGGAAAAGGTACAGGTAATAATGACATAAAAAAGAATTATAATAAAATTAAAACATACTAATATTTCAATATATATGAATTTAAAATGTATACATACAAAATACACACAACAAATAATCTTATGTAAATAGATATATAAACTTAATAATGAAATCGACCCGCTTATACAGACAAGTATTACGAACAAGTGTGATAAATAATAATTTGCACAAACTATTTCTTATTACACCAATGGTTAGAGGTACTGAAGGAAAAACTCAAAATCTGAGACGAAACTTAGCATTCAATTCACGCGTTGTAGGGAGAGGAGCTTCAACAATGCGTGGGACTTGTAACCCATGTCTAAGTATGGGCCCCCTACCTAATACACGTTAAAAGCTCAACTTCACCGTCTAAACTCTTAACTTCTTAGTGTAATGTAAAAATTCATTCATCATGACTATTTCATCAACATGTTCAGTAATTTATAAAGTCCTGCTTATAATTCAGAACATATCCTCTTAACATAAAAATGTATCGATGAAGTATTCAAAATAAAGTTCAATTCTGACACATAATTATAATTCAGAGACACAAAAAAAATACATGTATGGATTCGTTTGTGATAAAAAAATATATATAAAAATATATACGTGAAGCGGTTAGTCTTTCGGTGGCCAGAGCGCAAAAGGAAATAACCACAAACGAACGATCAGTAGGTTTTGTGAGAGAAGGCACTAGGGCTACAAAATCAAACGTCAAGCCTTACTCCATCCTTAAAGCGGCGTCGGATTGGACTATAATGATGGACACGTATGAAAAGCAATATAGAATACCCGAGGATATTTGTGCGTCGGCCTCCAGACCGGATATATTTTTGTTTTCGCGAATTCTAAAGCGCGTAGTGATGATAGAGCTTACGGTCCCTTGGGAAACCAACATCCCCAAAGACCATACCATCAAGGTCAACAAATATTACGAGCTCACAAACGAACTCACTCGAAATAGGTTCGTAGTAGATTTGTACGCGGTAGAGGTGGGAGCGAGAGGTATAACAGCGAAATCTCTCTACAACCTACTAAAGGACTTGGGCTTGTCCAGAACTCACATAAATGCATTCTTGGAACGTATATCGAAGGCAGCCCTAGTAGGTTCTTTTCAAATTTGGTTAGGTAGGGAGAGGAGCTTGGACAGTGGAGGTGAGCGTATAACGCGCGTTAGTTAAGGGGCCCCTTAAACCTACACTTGGGTCGCAAGTCCCAGGCACTGTTGAAGCTCCTCTCCCTGCAACGCGATGGACCCGGCACCCGCACGGTGAATCCATGGAATGCTTAGTAGTTTCGTCTCATATTAAAGTTAACAAAACGTTGGTTAAGATATTAATATTCAACTATTGTCCATATTACTGTGAAATAATAATTAAATGAAGAGATATTTAACAATGTCCACTAGTGAGATTTTTTTATGTATAAGCTGACCCGGCAAACTTCGTATTTCCCAATAATCAAGAAATATCTGTTACCTTTTTATCTGAACTAAAGTAATAATTTCCTTATTCTTCTGAACGGAGTTTTGCCTGGTTCAACCTGATAAACGTTAATCACTCAGTTTATATTTTTACATACATATCAACAGCATATTGGTAAAAGAGACAATAACATTTTAAGATGTGATTGACCTCACCTTTCCAACCATAAGCCTGTATGAATAATAATTCATTGGACTAACTATTTTGTTTGTTTCAGAACCTAAAAACATTTTTTTTGTGATTAAACTATGTAAATTACTTAAAATGACAAATTATGACAAACATTAAAAACCTAAAATGTTTATTTACCTGTAACTGGATTTATCATCTTCATTAAAATGATATCCATCTTCACATTTCCAAAATAACTAGGATATTGTAAAGCATCATATGTTCGATGTGTGTCGGACACACACTGCAGTTCATTATTACACCCTCAATGACAAGAGCGACTTCATCAATTATTGGGGCATTAAGATGTCTTATGTGTTGCCCTGCAGGCATCTTTTCGGCTTTGATAACAATTTTGTAATTATCAGATGGCATGTGATCTACTGTGGTCTTGAATAATGCAACCAATGCGTTGTGTTGATGGAAAAATAATTGGAGCTGTTCAACAACTGGTCTTTTCACAGAAAAGTTGTGTGCACAACGCTGATCAACTTGTCTTCCTGAATCGCCCATGAAATAAATTTGCAAAAATTTCTAGTCACTGACCGGCACTGGTAATAGGGCCCTGTACAATGATATATTTGTCCTTGAATCTGTAAAGGTAAACATTCCTGTATTAGATATACATATTGTAAAGTGAATTGTTCAAACCACCAAGTGACAGTCAAAATACTTTGTGAGCACTACTATTTAACCTATCAAATTTTTTAACCCAATTCCTTCTGGCTAAAGTAATTCACAGAGCTACAAATGTACTTTAAGCCTTTTTAAATGATACACCATAACAATTGAAAACTGTCACCAAGAGTGGTAAATGTTTTTCAATACACTTACCAACAGCGTTGGCATAAAATTTATCGTCCATTTCCTTGTTTTAATTAAATGCGGCTCAATACCCCTATAGCAACAACAAAAGCAACCCTTCTATATCGTTGGTTCCGGTTTCATCGATTCCGTTAATCTACCCTCCGCGTTTCACGTTGCTCATCAGTTAGACTTGCTCATCTATATCTTTGACTCGAGGCATTACGGGTTCTGCGACTTAAGTTTGTACGTCTAGTTGCCGGTATTTTTTGAAACAAAAATTCAACTGAAAATAAAAAACACAATTCTTATTAGATTCCTATTCTTTTGTAATAGTATCAAAATGGTCTATAAAAACTTTCCCACTCCATAATAATTTGACTCACCTTGTTGAACAAACACTTCAGAAAAAAACTCACAGTACAAATTATCCTGTTAAAACCAATGTGAAAATTACACTAAGAAATAGGAAATGAATTATGTAGATATTTTGTTATTATAACTCCAGCCACAAATAGTAAAACTGAATATGTACTCGTACAAAACCACATAACACAAAAAAAATTCTTTGCAAACAATTTGAAAGAATAACAGAAATTTTAAGACAGAGACAATAGTTTATCATAGACTAATATACTACATAAATGCTAAGCTCAGCTTATGTATCGTTAACTATAATAAAAACTACAAAAATTATAAATAAAATAAAAAGACACTTAAGTTTTCGTAAATGTATAAAATAAATTTAGGAATTGTTTTATATAATATAATCTTTAATTATTTTTGAACTCATGTCAACCATTACTTATAGTATTTGACAGGATGGACGACAAAATTGTTTGACTATTGACAAGTACAACGCGCTTCGATCGATCCTGGGAACCCGGGTTCGATCCTTTACATGTTTTTCTCTTTTTCAATTTTCTCTATACTAAACTCTTTTTTCAATTATTAAAATACGGTTATTCCAAATACAATATTATTTGACGTAAAAAATTCTTTAGCCATATCTATATATATAAAAGAAAGTCGTGTTAGTGACTGCACTTATAACCCAAGAACGGCTGAACCGATTCAGCTGAAAATTGGCAGGGAGGTAGTTTAGAACCAGGAAATTGCAATAGGATACTTTTTATCCCGTTCGACAGCATTCCCGTGGGACTTGACATGAAACGTCAGTCACTATAAAACGTGGAATAACACAATTGACAGCTATGCAATTGACGTATAATGACAGATATGTAATGACGTATGGATGACAATTAGATATTTGTAAGAAATCTACTATATAAAAATAAAAATATTTAGGTAATGTGTTTGTTGTTTGAACTCTTAAAACCATTTAGTATTTGCGGGATAAATTTAGAAAATCATTATTTTTCACATGGGCGTTATATTTTGCGTGTTCACGAGTTTGGAAACCATACGCTTTATTTGTGTTAAAGTTAGACCAAAAAACAAAAAATGTGGTTTACAAACGAGCACTTCAATGAAACGGATAATTTGCGGACACGTATATTGCTTCGATTCGGTATCTACTTTGGATTCACTTTCATTTACTTAGAGAAGTTCAACTAAATAACACTTCATTTTGTAATCTAAATGAATTCATTACTGTTGTAAAATGAAATAAAAATGTTCCTTTTCAAATATGAAACAAAAAATTGTTCATCTTTTAATCACCAAACGAAATGTTATATAAAAGCCTTCTGGTGGCGAAACGGAGTTCGCCAGGTTTACTAGTTATACATATAAAAGAAAGTCGTGTTAGTTACTCCACTTATAACTCAAGAACGGGTGAACCGATTTAGCTGAAAATTGGCATGGAGGTAGTTTAGAACCAGGAAATTCCAATAGGATACTTTTTATCCCGTTCGACAGCATTCCCGTGGGACTTTACATGAAACGTCAGTCACTATAAAACGTGGAATAATGAAACACAATTGACAGCTCTATGCAATTGACGTATAATGACGTATGGATGACAATTTGATATTTGTAAGAAATCTACTATATAAAAATAAGTTCGGTTTTCCATCCTGGCGCTATAACTTCAGAACGAAAGAACCAATTTCCACGGTTTTGCATTCGTTGGAAAGGTCTCGGGCTCCGTGACAACAAAAAATTTCAACAGAAAATGGGAAAAATCTTTTGTCACCTACAGAGCCATCATACATAACATGTACTACAAATCAATATTTTAAGTAGATGGTGAAGTCGCATGATACATTGTTTGACAGCTACTCATTGTTCTCTTCTCAGTTAATTTCATGTGACAAACCGGTATTGTGTTTGTAGTTTGAACTCTTAAAACCATTAAGTATTTGCGGGATAAATTTAGAAAATCATTGTTTTTATATGGGCAATTATATTTTGAGTGTTCACGAGTTTGGAAATCATCCGCTTTATTTGTGTTAAAGTTAGACCAAAAAACTAAAAATGTGGTTAACAAAGGAGCACTTCAATGAAACGGATAATTTGCGGACACGTATAACGCTTCGATTCGGTATCTACTTTGGATTCACTTTCATTTACTTAGAGAAGTTCAACTAAATAACACTTTATTTTTGTAATCGAAATGAATTCATTACTGTTGTGAAATGAAATAAAAATTTTCCTTTTCAAATATAAAACAAAAAAATTCTTCATCTTTTAATCACCAAACGAAATGTTTTATAAAAGCCTTCTAGTGGCGAAACGGAGTCCGCCGGGTTTACTAGTAACAGATATTTCTATCTCGCATACATGTAGGTATATCGTCCTAATGAACCCAAAAACAAGATGTTATGTTTTCAATTTGTAAAAATATGAATATTTCAAGAATTCTTTTAAATGTTGAACTCCTTAGCCTTGTTTTAAAGTTATGTATATTCAAATTGCCAGAGTGCCTTTATACAAAATTAAGTAAGTATATAAAATAATGTATTGGATTTGTACGTATAAAACTAGTTTTTTTAATATTTTTCATTATTATGTTCTCATCTTTTCATAGTTATTGTCTTCTGATAAGAATATCACAATATAAAATGACGTTGTCGTAGAGAGCGACGTCAATTTTGTGTCTAATGGATTGTGAGCGCTCAGCGCGTTGTAAGTTGTAACTCCGTTTATAGAAATATATTCTATGTATACAAGACAGGGTCCAAGTTATGAACGTGGTTTGAGAAAAAAACATTGTTTAGGTGCTATAGATGGCGTAGAATAATTAGATTACATAAAATTTAAACAACTTCAAAAGAAGAAAAAAGTGTTAAATCTGTTGTAATATAAAAACTAAATGAATACGAGAGACATAAGTTACAGATAGGTATATTTTAAAAAAGCTGTTATTTGAGATGCATATTATTGTCTTTTACCACGGTCTAGAGGAGTCAAATTTTTCAAAGAGAATTTTATGATTCGGTTTCAGAGCTTAGACTTTAAAGCCTCTTAATACTGCTGAACCCATTTTTTAAAACGTAAAGATTGTTGAATCACTTTATTACAGTCAATCGAAGTTAGTTTGTCACGTCAGGGTTAGGTTATGAAGTAGGGAAAATATCACAAATACTATAAAAATCACAGAATGTTTAATTATACGCTATCTTCTTCTACCTGGCAATTTCCCAGCTTTAGCCAGGGTCTGCCTTACATGTGGTGAATAGTTTTGGCTTATTATTTTTACGACCGGCTGCGTGACTGACATCAACCCTCTTTGGGAATGCTTTAATCAGTGATGTCTA